AGTTTTCCCTGGTCGGGTCTAGTTTTTCCCTGGTCGGGTCTTGCTTTTTCTTTGGTCGGGTCTAGTTTTTCCCCTGGTCGGGTCTAGTTTTCCCTGTGGTCGGGCCTAGTTTTTCCCCTGGTCTGATCTAGTTTTCCTCTGGTCGGGTCTAGTTTTCCCATGGTCGGGTCTAGTTTTCCCTTTGGTCGGGTCTAGTTTTTTCTTTGGTCGGGTCTTAGGTTTTCTCGAGTCGGGTCCAGTTTTTCCCTGGTCGGGGTTCGTTTTCCTCTGGTCGGGTCTAGTTTTTCCTTTGGTCGGGTCTAGTTTTTCCTTTGGTCGGGCCTAGTTTTGCTCTGGTCGGGTCTAGGTTTCCCCTGGTCGGTTCTAGGTTTCCCTTTGGTCGGGTTTAGTTTTTCCCTGGTCGGGTCTAGTTTTCCCCTGGTCGGGTCTAGTTTTCCCCTGGTCGGGTCTAGTTTTCCCGGCGGTCGGGTTTAGTTTTCCCCTGGTCGGGTCTAGTTTTCCTCTGGTCGGGTCCAGTTTTCCCCTGGTCGGGTCTAGTTTTTCCTTTGGTCGGGTCTACTTTTTCTTTGGTCGGGTCTAGTTTTTCTCTGGTCGGGTCTAGTTTTTCCTTTGGTCGGGTCTAGTTTTTCCCTGGTCGGGTCTAGTTTTTCGTTTGGTCCGGTCTAGTTTTCCCCTGGTCGGGTCTAGTTTTCCCCTGGTCGGGTCTAGTTTTTCCTTTTGTCGGGTCTAGTTTCCCCCTGGTCGGGTTTAGTTCTCCCCTGTTCGTGTCTGGTTTTTCCCCTCTGGTCGGGTCTAGTTTTTCCCTGGTCGGGTTTAGTGTTTCTGTGGTCGGGTCTAGTTTTCCTCTGGTCAGGTCTAGTTTTTCCTTTGGTCGGGTTTAGTTTTCCCTGTGGTCGAGTCTAGTTTTTCCCTGGTCGGGTCTAGTTTTCCCCTGGTCGGGTCTAGTTTTTCCTTTGGTCGGGTCTAGTTTTTCCCTGGTCGGGTCTAGTTTTCCTCTGGTCGGGTCTAGTGATCCTCTGGTCGGGTCTAGTTTTTCCCCTGGTCGGGTCTAGTTTTTCCCTGGTCGGGTGTAGTTTTTTCCTTGGTCGGGTCTAGTTTTCCCCTGGTCGGGTGTAGTTTTTCCTTTGGTCGGGTCTAGTTGCTCGGGAAAGCGCGACGAAAGAGGAAGCGTCGGAACTCGCTTGCCTCCGAGCCGTCGTCTCGCTCGCCATCGAAAACCCAGGCCAGTTTGCGCTCCGACCGAAGCGCTGGAAGGTACCGCCCGACGAGCTCGTTGCCAATATGCCCGGCGCCGCCGCCGACCCTGCCTCTGGCGGGCACGCGCTGCCAGCGCGCGCCCCTGCGCGCCTCCAGGGCGCGGGCTCGGAGGCTAGCGCGCCTGACGCTGACGCGCGCTTGGTTGAACTTGTCCGCGATGTTTTCACAACGCACGGCGGCGATTTCGATCCGTCGCGGATTTCCCGCAACAAATTGCGGTGGCGCGACGAGCGCGCGTTCGAGACGTTCAAGAAGCTTTTGGCGCCTGGGGGGCTGAAGGACTTCCTCGACAGACACTCCGACGAATTCGCCTGGCGCGAGAAGGCCGACAACAAAGGCATGCTCATCGCATGGGCGAACTGGGCGCGGCAGGAGGAGCGCGCCCCGCCATGGGCGCGCCCCGCCATGGGCGAAGTGGACGCAGGCACTGCCTCTGGCGCGCCCCGCCGTGGCGAGCGCGCCCCAACACGAAGTGGCCTCAGGCAGCGGCCTGAAGCGGCCGAAGGGCGCCCGCCAACTGACCGCCCTCAGGAAGCGGCCTCAGGAAGCGGCCAGAATGCACTGCCTCTGGCGGGCCCCGACAATTCGCTGCCCTCTGGAAGCGGGCGGAATGAGAGCAACCCTTGGGAAGACCTTCGCTGGGAGATGGTTGCCCGAGACACTGCCTCTGGCGTGGCCGAGTCGCTGCCTCTGGCGCGCCCGTGGCGCTGCCTCTGGCGCGCCTTCTGAGGCCGAGGCGGCGTCGCGGCAGCTGGCGCCGCGACACTTGCGAGCGGAAAAACTAGTCGTCGTCATCACCGCCACCGTAGTCGCCATCATGACAACGACATCACCAGCGCAATCAGCGACGCCATGACCACCGACATCATCACCGTCGTCGTCATGACCGCCGTCATCATGACCACTGACATCATGACCGTCGTCGTCATGACCACCGACATCAATGGCATCACCAGCGCCACCGTCATCATCATCATCACCATCACCACGCCAAGTTCGCATCACACTAGCGCTGCGCATCCGGAATATGTTGTTCGACCCCTTTGGTGGACCAGCCAGTTATTGCAATTGTTTCAAGCAGCGGCGGCGATTGCTACTACTACCACTGCTACTACTACTACTACTACTACTACTACTACTACTGTTACTAGGACTGGTGCTACTTTTACTTCTACGTATACGTTTACTTCTACTTCGACTACGACTGCTAGTGCTGCTTCGACTACTACTACTACTACTACTACTACTACTACTACTACTACTACGATTACTACTATTACCACGATTTCTATCAATACTACTACTTCTATTATTATTCCTACCACGAATTTTACGAATATCACTGCTACGACTACGATTACCACTACCACTACTACTACTACTGCTGCGACTATTATTATTACTACTACGACGACGACTACTACTACCACTACTACGACCACTACTACGACCACTACTACTACTACTACTACTACTACCACTACTACTACTACTACTACTCCTACTACTACTACTACGACTACTACTACTACTACTACTACTACTACTACTACTGCTGCTGCTGCTACTACTACTACTACTACTATTACGGCTGCTACTACTACTGCTACTACTACTAGTAAAGCTGTGACTAGGACTGTGACTACGACTACGGCTTCTACTACTTGTAATTATTACTACCACTGCGACTACTATTTTTTCGACTCTATTTGTTTATGTTTACTACCAGTATTACGACACTACTACTACTGCTACTACTACTACTACTACTACTGTACTACTGCTGCTACTACTACTATTACCACTTCTACTACTACTACTACTACTACTACTACTACTACTACTACTACTACCACTACTACTACGACTACTACTATTACTGCTACTACTACTACTACTACTACTACTACTACTACTATTACTACGACTACTACCACTAATACTTTTACTACTGTTACTACTACTACTACTGCTACTACTACTACTACTACTACTACTAATACTACTACTACTGCTACTACTACTACTTCTACTTCTACTAACACTACACTTGCTACTACTACCACTACTACTAAAACGATTGTTTCTGGCACTACCATACCTATCAGGAGTATGGGTATGCGTTGTAACGATTTCTTTGGCAATCTTATTGCGATCGATTTCGTCTTTATCACCCTTCGTGCGGTTACTCCTATGCGTATGCATTTCGTTAATGCGGGTATCCTCATCATTGTTAGTTAGAGCATTTGTAGTGCTAATAGTGTTGCTGGTACCCGTATATGAATTAATGTTGGTTTTCTTATTTCTTCTTACCGTTATTTTCGTAATGCCGTCATTATTTGCATTTCTTCTGAACCGTCGTATCATTATTCTTATTCGTATCGTTCTTTTCCTCAGCGCCGCTGCCCCAAGGCCTCGGCCTCAAGGGCGGAGCTTGGCTTCGCGAGGGGGCCCCAGTCGGGAATGGCGTCGGGCGAGGCAGCCCGCGTGGGGTCAGGCGCAGTGGCGGCGCCGCCCTCCTCGCCACCCTGTTCGCTCTTCGCCGCTCGCCTGCCTCCACCCCGGGGGGCCGGGGACGAGCGGCGCCCGCGCGGTCGGGGGCAGCGCGCCCTTTTGGGCGAGCTCGGTGCGGGCGCTTCGCCGCGGCCTGCGCCGAGGCCGCGGCCCAGGCTTCTGCAAAGCCGTGGGCCCGCAGTGGGCCCGCGCCGCCGTGCTCCCCGCCGAGTGCGGCTGGGCGCCGCGCCACCTGCACGCGCGGCGCGGCCGCGTTCCGCCGCCGTCGCTCCCGGGGGTGCGGCCCTTGGAGCCCCCAAGGCCTGGCAGGCCAGCGGCCGGACTCGGCCTCCCCTCCAGGCCAGGCGACCAGCGGGCCCCGCTTGCGGCTGCGCCCTCCTCCCGCTCCCCCCGCAGCGCGCCGCCCTCGCCTGCCGAGGCCGCGGCCTGCCGTGCCCGCCGCCGCGTGCGCGGCCCCGCCTGCTCGAGCGCCGCCTCGGGATCCTCGAGCCGCGGTTTCAGCGCCCGCGCGCGCGAGGGCTGCTGCGGGGCGACCGGCCCCGTCGCGTGCCGCACCGGGCCCAAGCGGCCCGCCGGAAGGCGGAGGCCGCCCCGCCACGAGGGCGGGCCCGCAGGGGCGGGCGGGTGACTGTCCGCGTGAGTTACAGCCCCAACCAATTGCCACGCGAAGTCAGAGATTTCCTAGGCGTGTCCCGACTTGGTGCTTCGCGACGGTGCCCCCACCTCGCTGCTGGAGGGAAACGTGAGCCACGGCTCCCGCGTTACAGGAACAAGTTGTGTTTGGTTGAGGGCGTTTTGTTTCTCCTCAAGGAGCGTTGTACATTGCGCGTTGCCGATTTCAAGGCGGGTCGGTCGGTCTTGCTCCTTGTTTGTTCGGGGAGAATTGCAAGTTTGTGTTGTTGAACATATCCGCCGCGACGCTAGCCAAGCGCAAGATGCCAGTCCAGGTCAAAATTGTTACGGGTGCTGGTCAGAGGAGGATGGTGGTGATGCTACATAGGTCATGCTTCTTTTCCTCCTCATACTCATTTTCTTCGCCTTCATCATCGCCATCATCATCCGCTTCGTCCTTTTAATCATCGCAGTCACAGTCGTCGTATTCATTCATCCTCGGCCTCAACGCCGACCTCGTCGTCATTGTTCTCGTCGTCATGCCCGCTCCCAGCCCATGACGACAGTGATGATGGTGCTGACGATGCTGATGATGGTGGCGCCACCTGTCCCTGAAGGTTCCCGTCCAGGCCGGACATCTTCGACGACCTGCCTGGCGAGAATTGGGTCGGCAGCCCCGCGATGAAGCGCATACGGGATCGTCTCATGAAGGACGGAAGGCCAGATCAATCCCCCCGCCCCGCTCCTGCTCCTCCCGCGGGTGGTTGCTCAAGGTGGGTGGGGGGAGGGGCGAGAAATGAAGGGGGCCAGGGGTTCAGAAAAGGGGCTCTCAAGGGGTCCCGAAGGGGCACGAAAGTTGTCAGGAAAGGGGCCCAACAGGTATCCCTCCCACCTCCCCCCCAACCTCCCTCCCCCACTGAGCAACGCCCGATCCCCCCATGGAGAGGCCCGAGGGCCTCTGTTCGCGGTGAGGGGGGGGGGGGGCGGGGGGCGAGCCAGGCTGGGCTGCGTGCCCGCGACGTGCGGTTGTCGGTTGTCTGGTCCCGCCCGCGGCCTGTGCCCGGCATCACCCGAACGTATGACTATTGCGTGCTACTGCGTGCGCGTCTGACCCCAGGGGCGACGCGCGGGCCATGAAATACAAGGGCTCCCTCGAGGGCGCGAAGTTATTCGCGCTTCGCGCTTCGCGGTCCTCGTTCCTTCTCCCCCTCCTCCTCGTCCTCCTATTCTCCTTCTGGGAGGGCGGCGCGAGAGCGCGAAGTTATTCGCGCTTCGCGCTTCGCGCAGCGCGAAGCGCGAAGCTGGGAGCCCTTGGAAATACTACAGTGCATGCCTGATGGCCGGCGTTTTCTGGTCATACCGCTCGGGAAACGACATGTTACCAGATGTTGTGCTACACGTCTGGGTCGGACGCACGCCTCTGGGGAGGACGCATAGTACCAGCATGTCCTCCTGCGTCCCGTGTGCTGGACCCTTGCTTTTCGTGGGCTGGTGGCCACGATGTTGTCGATCATTCGCATGACCATGGCAGGGTCCGGAACTTCTGCTTCCGCGTGTCGCGCCGCTGGTTCTGGCCCATCACGCCTCGGCGTGACACGCTGAGCGTTCTAGCCCCCAGGCGTCAACGTCCCGAGCTTCTCCCGGCCTCCCACCCCGCGCGGCGGAGCGTCGTGCCTGCAGCTTGCAAGGCAGGGCGTGTCGCCTGGGCCGCCGACGTGTCATGCTAAGCAGAGAGGTCCTGGCCGTGCTGACGATGATCTTGGCCATCGTCGTGGTCATCATGGTCGAAATGACAGTCTGGGTCATCGTGGGCATCGTTCTGATCATGGCCATGACCATCGTCATCATGGTCACCACCGTTCTCATGGTCGTGGTCATGTGCGTGACCGGTCTGACGGTGCCTAGCGGACCTAACACGTATGATCATCACGGGCAGCATGGCCATTCTTCTGTCCACCTCTATACACAATCGGATGATCAGTTTGGGGGCAGTGTCCCCCATCATCACAAGCGACACCACCATCACATATCAGAATGATAGTCGTCCTGCTCATCATAATCATGGCAATCATTATCTTCGCGATCGCTCCTACATTGTTAACAGCACGAAAGTATCAACAAAAACAACCATCAAGGTCATCATACTGACCGTCATAACCTGCACGGGCATCATTTTTATACCTGCGATCACACGTTTTGATTATCAGGTTCATCAGATCATTCCGAACATCGTACTACCATCGGTAATCATCCTGTCTAGGCTCGAGTTGCCTCGGCAAGCAGCGCCATGGGGCAGCTTCCCTCAGAGTTGGTGCTTGGAAGTCTGCTCGCGGCGCTCGTGCTGTGCCTGCATGCCTCCAGCAACGACCATCTCTTCATCCCTGCTGGTGTTGCAGGGACTCCGCGTGCCACTCGACGCTTTGTCAGTGTTGCTGGATTGAGCTCGAACGCCAAAAACATCGCTACTGGACCAGAGAGGCTGGTTGTGTTTGCGGCATTGGTCTGCGGTGCTGGGTGCCTCCGTACAAACCGTCGAAGCGTTGTTGCCCGCCATGGCCTCTCGGATCGTTCAAAGAAGGATTTCAGCACGAAGAGCGCCATGATAAAAAAGCTTGGCAAGTTAGTGCTAATGAAAGAGTTCGACATGCGAAACCAGATCAAAGATGATCCCAAATTGGCTGCCAGATCAGGCATATCACAGGAGGAACTATTAGCCGACTTTGAGCGGGCGGTTGCCTTTATACGGACCGAGTTGAAGATGGACGACTTGACCGCTAACGTTGCGGTATCGAAAGTTGCCACGGGTCTATACATGCAGCATTTGGGTCGGCCTTCGATCCCCAGCAATGAGCACATGACCTCAGTGATCAATTGGCTTGGAACCAACCTGGCTGTCGACATCGAGTCTGGCGGTATGGCTAGGGTTGTGGAGCAGTATCCGTTTGTGCTGGGTCGCTCTATCGAGGAGCTCGAGGAGTCCAAACGGTTCTGCCCTGAGGATATCAATTACGAAGTTGCAGTATCAGACGATCCAGCGCTCATCGACAAGACGTACAATTGTGACGGAATTTGCGCAAACCAGTGCGTCGCATGCTGGTATAACGGTTGAGCCGTTTCTAGCCAATGGTTGTTTTCTGATTTAACGGTAGAAGTTTCTTCTATGGCTTCAGCTCCTACGGTAATAAACACATCACATAAGAAATCAGCCCCCCCCAGCAGGGGCAACAGTGAAGTTTCACATCCCCGATGGCCACGGGACCCCACGGAAGCGCGCGAGCATTTCGGAAAGCTCAAAGACCGACGCCAATGTGTCCCCAGATGTCTTATGGCAAGGGTTCTTATTGTACGTACGTGCTGTATCTAGCCGCCTGCTGCGAACTCTGCAACTGTGCCAGCGCGGCGTCGGAATCCATGCAGGATGGTTGGTCAGAGCTCTTGCGAATTGGCTAGCTGTCACCATCTCGGGGCCGATTGCGAGGCAGCGCAGTAGAGTTGCAGCGTATCGCGATTGCAACTTTGCGTCGTTGTTGCAGTGGTTCTCGCGGGTGTCCTGGAGGCGTCTTGCGTGCTTCGGTTCGGATTCGTACGGGACTCCTAGGGCCCCCTTATCGGGGTCTTCCAATCAACTGCCCAGACGGGGAAACGCAGTGCCGATCCCAGCAAATCGGTCCCCTGCGAACCAGGAACACCTTAGTCAATTTCATGGCGAGATGGGTGGATGAACCGCATGTGGACGCGCCCAGTGGGGTCGCAGGTGGAGCTCTTCGTGGCGCCACGGGCCGTGTGGGCGGTGTGCCGAAATGGGCGGGGGGACCGCCTGCGAATTTGCCTTGCCAACGGGGGCCGTCGGTGGAGCTCCATGACCCGTGTGAGGGATGCGTCGAAATGGGCGTGGTGATTGCATGCGAACTTACCGATTGGGGCCGTAGGTGGGTTTGAGGGGTGTGCCGACATGGGCGGGGGGGGCCGCATGCAAGTCCCAGTGGGGCCCCAGGTGAAGCTCCTTACGAGGGCACGGCGCGTGTGAGTGGTGTGCCGAAATGGACTTGCCATTGAGGCCTTCGGTGGAGCTCCCTACGGGGCCACGAAGTGTGTGAGGCCGGTGTCGTAAAGGAGACGCGGAGAGCGTGTGTGTGTGTGTGTGTTCGTATGTTTGCGTGCCTCCCAGAGCTTCGCTGGAGGATTCCTTTCACATATCTCGCAGGTTTGTTTCAATTTCTCGAAGTATTTAGGGGGGCTGTCTTGGGATGAAATGGGGGCATCTGGCAATCATCTTGGGGATGTACTGGGCCATCTTACAGTTATTTTTGGCAGAAAAAATGGCGCGGGCAGGATTCAGAGAGGGGGGGCGATCCAAGTGGGCCAGTGCGACGGGAAGGGGAGGGGAGAATTTTTCAAACTCCGACCCCCCTCCCCGCAGGCATGGCAGCGGATTGTGCAGCATTAGACCCCAGGGCCAGGTGGGTCATGGGGAGATTCTCTTTCGCGCTCCATGGTATATCCATACCATGCCCAGCGTTGAGAAGAAACGCCGTGCAGCTTTATGACCTGGACGCGCAGCATGTGTGCGCAGCATACTAAAGAAACTGTCACCGTGATCATCGTGGTCGTCCTCACGAACACCATCATAACAATAGGATGCTCGTGATCCCCACTGTCAGGTGTTCATGCCCATCATCGCTCGCAACTGGTCCTTGCGAGTACAATGAAATCTGCCATCACCACCGTCACCGTCAGCACGCATGACACGACCATGTGCATGCCAATGATTAGGGTCACAATCACCACCCTTTCGTGTACGCACCCGCCCGCTCGCAGGCCGCAGCACCGTCAGCATCTCTTGTTTGTGACACCTTGGCAGGGGCTTTTCTAACATACTGCATGACGCCGGCCCGACTCAACACTAGGGATACGCTCCCGTTGAAGCCTTACATACGCGACACTATGCAATGCAGAGTGCATCACGGCATAGCATTGCATAGCTTTCCACAGACTAGCAGCCCAGCACACCACGGAATAACACTGCATTCGCTGGCGTCGTGTAGCATGGTATGGCATGCAATGGCACATCATGTCGTTACATCGGTGTATAGCGTAGCAGTTCATTCAATACCATGATATGGCATGGCGTTGCAGAGCATAGGGCAGCACGTCATAACACAGCTTAGCATGTCATCGCAACCGGTAGCATGATATACAGCTGCCTGCGGCAAACCAACCCCGCCACTCTGCCTGTGCAACATCGCAGCAGAAAGGAGGCTGAGTGCATGAACAGTGCAATTCCGACGAGTAGTCTGCACTGGGGCGGATCATGATCCTAATCGTGGGCATGATGCGTCTTCCCTTGCGAGGTGCTGGAGTATGGGGCTGACGAACTTCCGGGCTGCCCCTGGTGTACAGTGAGCGGCTTGAATAAGGAACACGTTCTTTTCAAAAGGGGCTCGGTCGTTCCCCAGGTTTGCATGCGTTCTGCTACCTCTTTGGCGGCGAGCCCCCCTAGTGTTCCTTCGGACTTCGTAGACTCACTTGGAACAACAAGGGGCTTCGTTCCTCCTTTAGGGTTCCTTAGGTCAACGCCTCGATTGTATGTCTGTGGAGCTCTTCCGCCCGAGAAGCCGCCGGGCGGGAGGCTCGGAGAGAGCTCGGGACGTGGACGCCGGGGCCGCGACGTGGACAGCCCGTCCGCCGGAGCGCGGGGGGGCCAGAGCCGGCCAAGCGACACGCCATCCAAAATCTGCGCGAACGAGATGGGTACCGAAAGAATTGGCACAATGCCCAACAGCAGTTCCTCTTCACTTTGAACAGGACTCGCTGTCCGCGCTGCCGCGGCCTGTGTCCATTCGAGGCAGCAGGCCGCCTGCCCCACAGCGGCCGCTGTTGGCGCGAGACAACATTTGTTGTTGGGCACTGTGCCCATTCTTTCCGTACCCATTTCGGGCGTCCAAGCAAAAGCCGCCGGCCGCATATGTTTGGAGGCTGCGCCCTGGGTTGCTCGCCCGCGCCCGGCTTCTGCGTGCGCATGCGGCGCCCAGTGCGGCGCTGCCGCCCGGGCGCCCCTCGGATTTGTGCCGCGGCCGCGCTCGGTCGGAAGGTCGGCTGGTGTTCTTGCCAGTTGTCTGGCTGGCACTTCGATTGATTATCTCTTTGTTCCCTACCTAGGCTCTGCCTAGAAGGGTTCTTACTCTCTTAGCTTAAAGGGGCCGGGCAGTGGAACACGCCCCGGGCGGTTCCCCCCGTCCCCTGGGAGCGGTTCCCCCCAGTCCCCTGGGAGCTTTAGCTTTAGCTTTAGCTTTAGCTTAGCTTTAGCTTAGCTTTAACTTAGCTGTAGCTTAGCTTTAGCTTAGCGTTTCGCTTAGCTTTTCGTTTAGCGTTTAGCTTAGCTTTAGCTTAGCTTTAGCTTAGCTTGAGCTCTTAGCTGTAGCTTAGCTTAGCTTAGCTGTAGCTTAGCTTTAGCTTAGCGTTTCGCTTAGCTTTTCGTTTAGCGTTTAGCTTAGCATTAGCTTAGTTTTAGCTTAGCTTTAGCTTAGCTTGAGCTTACCTGTAGCTTAGCTTTAGCTTAGCTTTAGCTTAGCTTAGCTTTAGCTTAGCTTTAGCTTAGCTTTAGCTTAGATTTAGCTTAGCTTTAGCTTAGCTTTAGCTTAGCTGTAGCTTAGCTTAGCTAGCTTAGCTGCTGCTCAGCTTTAGCTTAGATTTAGCTTAGCTTTAGCTTAGCTTTAGCTTAGCTTTAGCTTAGCTTTAGCTTAGCTTAGCTTAGCTTAGCTTGGCTTAGCTTAGCTTTAGCTTAGCTTTAGCTTAGCTTTAGCTTAGCTTTAGCTTAGCTTTAGCTTAGCTTTAGCTTAGCGTTACTGTTACTACTAATGCTGCTTTCCTAGGGGTTCCAACTCCTAGGTAGGGTCGCACTGGGATAATTCATGTTTCTGGTTGGCAGAACTGATTTGGGCTGCTTGCTGGCTGGCTGGTTGCGCGCGCCTGTGATAATCAATGACGGGTGGTGGCCTCGGGAGCGCGCTTGGTTTGTAATTTGCAAGGGGTTCGCGGCCTCGGGAGCGCCTGCTCCCCGCTATGTTTGAGGATTCTCAGCCTCGGGGCCAGAGCCGACTTCTCAGTGGCATCACAGACCCCCGCCCCGAACACATACTCCCTGACACGAAATGCGAGTTGTTCTGCTCTGGGAGTCTGGAGAGGGGTGGCGCTTCTGGGCAGCCTCCGCGGGGTGGGTTCGTAGCCTTGGGAGCGTCAACTTGGCGTAACTTACGCATTGTAATAGCCTCGCGCGCGCGAAGATGGCATGATCTTCAAGTGATCGTGGCCTCGGGGACGCACACATGTGGCAACATATATATATATATACATATGCATATATATATATATATAGATGTGTGTGTAATTTCGGAAGCGGGAGCATCACGTAAGTTGCAAGGGAATGTGGCCCAGGGTACGCAGACTCGTTTGATGTACCAGAGGTTGTTGCCTTGGGAACGCAAGCGCATGGCCATGCACAACATGATGTTGCCTCGGGGACGCGGATCTATTGTAATGTGCAAGGGGCTGTGCTTTCGGGAGCGCGAACCTGATGTAATGTGCCAAGGTTTGGGGCTTTGATCGTGCACATGCGTTGTGGGTTACCTGCATGTGTGGCCTCGAGAGCGCGACTGTGTCTTATTTCACGGTTCCCAGGGCACCCTTATAAAATTCTGGTTTTAGGGGCATGTGTTTTTCCGTCGGGTTTCTCGCGCGGATTTCGTCCATTACACCATTGAGCGTAGAATTTAGAAAGTCCATGACGGTAGCGTTGGAATTGGAAGTGTTGCAGGGATCAGGAGCACCCACATTTCGCAGCTTGGTGGCCAGCGGATTACAAGTATTCCTTTGTTCCTGCGTGCTCTCCCCCGCTGATGAGGTGGACTGGCCAGTAGGAAACACTGTTTTGAAGTATGTAAGCCAGGGTGCCAGGGTGCCAAACCATGGACCGTCCCAAGGCAGCACCTCCAAGCGTCATGGAAGCGGAGCATGGCATGAGAACGGTAACGCGAACGATGAGGAGGAGGGGGAGGACGAGGAGAAGTATGAGGATGAGGAGTGAGGAGGAGAACAATGACGAGGGAACGTGCATCACGAGGACAATTAGGGAAGAGGAGGATGAGGAGGAGGAGGAGAATTATGATGACGAGGAAGAGGAGGTTTAGGAGTAGGAGGGCGAGAATGGCGAAGGCGAGAAGGATGAGTAGAAAGACAATGACGAGGCCAGGACAAGAACGAGGGGGAGCAGGTGGAGCAGGCGGAAACGGAGGAACTGATGACGAGAAGGGTACGAAGGAGGTTCAAAGGGATAAGATGGAGGAGGAGGAGGAGGAGGAGGAGGAGGAGGAGGTGGCAGGAGAAGGAGGAGAACGAGGGGTATGTGGGTTCATTCCAAGCTGCTCCGAGGAGAAGGTCGACTTCACGCGAGCTCCGCTCGACAAGTCGCCAGAGGCTCAAGACCTGGCGAGCTGGGGCTCCAAACCGACCACGCTCAACAGCCATCGCGCCATCTCCGCCCCACTCCCCGCTTCCCCCCTCCTCCCTCCTCCCCCGTCCCTCCTGTGACGTCTTCCTTATTTGACCGTGAGAGGGATGGGAGTCCCCACCTCCAGAGATCAGGTGGACCCGCGAGCGGGCAGGAGGATGAAGAGGACGACCAGGTGGCGGAGGAGCAGCAGCAGCAGAGCGAGGAGGAAGATGAGGAGGAGGAGACTCGATTTGGACGAATTCGTCCCACTGACGTGATGTATGGCTTGTATCTGATGGCCTTCTGCCCATCCCGCCACCGTGCCTGAGTTGTGGGTCATAGGCCTTTGGGCCTCTGGGATGTTCGTTGAGATGTCGCGGGGGGCTTCTCGGGGGTCTCTTGAGGGTCGTTCGGAGGCCACGTAGGAACCGCTTTAGGGCCTCTTGGGGCGTCTTGAGGGTTTATTGGGGTCTCTTGAGGCCTCTGGGGGGCCTCTTGGCGCCTCCTGTGGGCATCCCGTTGGCGTCTTGGGGCGGAAGAGTTTTCCGTTCTTGTTCCTCGTCTCGGGCCTTTCTTCGGGCTGTCTTTGGACCCTCTTGGGCCATCCTGGGCGCCTCTGGGGTTACCTTGGAGCCCTTTTTCCCCAGTCATCCTGTGGTGTTGGGTCATCGTTTTGAAGAGACAGCGCCCCGCGTTCCTTCCTCCTCCCGCTGCCCCCTCCCTCCTCCTCGCTTCATCGTCATCATCATCGCCAGCATCATCGTCATAATCATCAGCATCATCATCATCATCACCATCATCATTATCACCATCCAGATAATAAAAATTACAAATAAACATAATCAGCATCACCACCATCATCATCGTCATCACCATCATCATCATCACCACCAGCATCATCATCATCATCACCACCATCATCATCATCATCATCATCGCGTTTGTCCGTAGCTAGGTTGGCTGAGTGGGGAGTTCGCAGACGCACGCACGCTCCAGTCTGTCGCAGCTCGGTGCCATGCCAGTCAGCCGCAGGATTGGATAACGAGAGTTATCGCCACAAGAGAATCATCGTCTTCCTGCACGTGGCAGAATACAGTTCCACGGTCGTGCAGGGCTCACTACATATTTCGGTGGCGGAGTACCAGATGCCAGTGAGGCTACCGTGGCCGCGTCCCTCCCACCATGGTCTGTGGCCGCAGGAACAAGTTGAACACATTCGAGCAGCTCTTCTGTATCCAGGACGTGGAGCTGCTGCTGAGGTATCTGGATGGGCAATTGGCAGATTGCAACAGAATGATATCCCGTCGTTGTCGCTTGCCGTCGCTGAATTGGCAGACCAGATCGCGGGCCCTCAGCAGGTAGCAGGCCGCAATACTTCGGGCCTGGGGGAGAACCTAGCAGTGGTGTGGTCGACTCTCGGGATGGCCTTTCTTCACAAAGCTCACTTACGGTGCCGACCGATGTCCTGGGCTCGACGGGTCTGGCCTGCACTACCACCACTCGTGCAGGCCGCAGCCCAGCAGAAGAGCACGGACTACATCATGGGCGTCCACGCGGACATCCTTGAGCCCAGGAGCGTCACTTACATATATGTCCTGTTTGCGCACTCCGGTTTTTATTTTGGCAAGTGTAACGGCCAACGTCGCTCGGGGATTCCCTCAGGCGTCGCGGCCCGCGCGATGGAGCATCTCCGAGCGCTTCGACTACCAGCTACACGGGATGGGAAGATCGCGCGGTATCGCTTGCTGCGGGAGTCGCTGGGCTCAGTGGCTTACCTACCAGCGTACCACTTCGAGTCTGAGGTGCGGGCCCTGGCCATGGAGTCTAGCCTCATTGGCATGCTGGACCCACCATGCAATGGTCTCGATGTGGCGCAGCTGCGTGCCATGACGCAACAAGCGGATCCTCTTCGCCTCAAGCCACCTGTCCGACGACGACGACCCCACAAGCGGTTTCGTGCGTCAGCGTCGGTGTCATCAGCCTGGCTCGCACACCCAGTGCAGAATGCCTTTGCTAAGAAGCTCAAGCATGAGGAGAAGGAGAATTGTATTTCTGACAGCTGGGGTCCTTGGAGGACTTTGTATCAACGAGTACAATTGCATATTTTACTTACGTCAGGCGAGCATGGCCCACTATCAATCCTACAACCGCAGTGGACCAATCTGTTCCTAGCTTTCTTCGCCTCAGCCAAACCACGGCTTGAGTTCCCACCAGAGTGGGGTCGAGCCCAAGCCGCATCCGTTCTATGTCGTGCTGGGGGTTCTTTGACAAAGTACGTGAAGGGCATGGGCCGACAACTCGCAGCTCGACGTAACATTGAGTGGCATCTTCGACGATTACGGCTCCCACCTTTACAAGTGCGTCCGATGTTATTACCGATTTTTTCTGCGGAAACATAAGAATGTGGTCAAGAAGCTTGCATGGACATCCCTGCAGGAAATGCGGGTAGCACCAGCAAGGTCGCGGCTCCAGAAACACATTAAGACATGCTATCAGAAGGGCCAGACATGGGCTCAGCGCTTGACTGGAAAACGAGTTCTTCGAGATTTACCAAAGGCTTGGGTATCTGATTCGGACGTGCCGGATCTAGGGCGATGGGCCCAACTTCCTTCGTTGGTTGCTTATGATGCTCCATGGAGGTTGAAGCGGTGGCCGACAGCACGACGGATCAAGAGAACAGCCCTGGAAGCTATGTATCATTGGTGTTCGCAACAGCGTCTTCATCCTAGAGTCCAACGACGATGTCGAGCAGCAATGGATAACCTACTATCCCGCCAAGTCTGTCCTGCAGCACCCAAGGCTTGGCTCCAGGAAGAGACACGCATGGCGATATCTTTGAGTTCATCGACTACTTTTCTTCCTGATGATCGACTTCGCACCCGAGCATGGAGCACCAAGACTGAAGAGTACGCCGCGCACCTCCTGCTCGGCATGGCTAAGGATACAGAGGCGTGGCGCTTTCGACCAGAGATGTGCCCATCCGCGTGTCTCGCATGGGCGGAGGCACGCGCCATCCTTGGTCTCCCAGACTGTCTCCGACGGCGAGTTCGGCAGGTGCCCCCCCGCATCCCGCAGGTCTTCGCCTTCGTCGAGAACAAGTGCTGGCGCCCGCAGGGCGGCCACCTCTGCACCAAGGCGGGCCACTCCTGCGTCCGTCGGGTCGTGGACATGGCGGGCACCCCGTTCGCGAAGGGCTGGAGGACCATGGGGCGCGCCGTGCGTGCAGTCGTGGCTGGCACAGGCCGCTCCAGGGAAGTCTCCAGCATGGGCGACGTCGCCCCCGCGCTGAGGGGGAACCTGGGCCAGCTCACTCCCCCCAAATGTGCCGTCACTACCGAGGGGAGCTGCGGGTGGCCTTGTGAGTGCTGCGGGGCCAAGTTGGATGGCCTATCGTGTGCAGCTGTAGACGTAGATCAGGCTTTCGAGGCATGCAAGGGTGAGTCGGTCATGAGTGCATGGGGGGGGAACGGCCAGGAGATTTCAGGAACGGTGGACAGCTGATTCGGTGATGGTGCAACGGGGGCGCAAATGCGTCACCCGTATCGGTCCCTCCCGGTGGAATCGCGCCTGGTGGGTCCTGTCCTTATCTCAGCTTGGCTACGCCCTGAAAGCCTCGACCATGATAAGTTTAGCATTCGTAGGGGAGGTCGTTGTCGAGATGCTGGGTTTATGTATAGGAGGAGTTATGAGTTCAGCAGCGGTAGCAGTTCAGTTGGGCGATGAAGAGGCCAGCGTTCTGGAGGACCCCCGCGAACTCGACTCCGAGGGATGGTGTTTTCCTGGACCTGATGTTCTATCTGTTTTCGCCTGGGTGAGGTACGTGGACGATATCTTGTCGTTTTCGTATCGTTTGTGTCCGACGTGCATGGTTCGTTGTCTGCGAGCGACTTTCAGGGAGCCCATCAGCATCGTTTTCTTAAGCAGCGCCAGCTCCAGAAGCGTGACCTGGCTTGACCTTGGGATCCACCTGGGCCACCAGCGCATTCAGTGGACGCTGAAAAATCTGAATCGGCAATGGTTGGCAGGCTCGTCATCATCTCATTCATCAGCGTTCTTGCCCTACTTGGACCATCTACCCGTGCCTTTTACACGCCTTCGGGGAGTCTTCCTGGGCAAAATTGCGAGGGGGGTGACTCTGGAGTTACCGACGGGGGCCTTGTATGTTTGCATCATGGAGTTGTCTATCGAGCTTATCAAGTTGTCGTATCCCTTCGAGGTTGTGCGTGCATTACTTCATTCCCTGCCTCCGTCCCCAGCCGTGCGGCTCGCGAGACGGGCACTGCGCTCCTGGGGCAAGCTGCTCCTGCCTTCCCTTGGGGCGATGGGAGGCGGCAGCAAAGGAGGTGGTGGCCGTGGCCAGGGCTTCGATCAACGGAACGGACCTGGAGGAGATCAGTATCGGTGGCTGTGGGTAAAACCTGACCAACACCCAGACTCCAGAGATGGCGGACACCATAGGAGCCGTCGCAAGCACAAGAAGAGCAAGAAGGACGATAAGAGGCCGAGGTCGTCGTCTTCTACATCACCATCGCCCTACGACTCGGACAAGCAGTTGAAGCTGGCGGAGCTCATCATGTGGAAGAAGGACCCGTCGTGCCGCGAGTACGTGAGGACCAAGGAGGCCGAGAAGAGGGACGAGGAGTTTGCGAGGCAGGGGCGCATCCTAGCGGAGGCTCTGGCACCAGGCCTGCAGGCGGTCATGGCGAGTGCTGTCACGAGCACGGCCCCCGCGGCGGAGTCCCCGCCCCCGCCTCCGCTGACGGCGCCCGCCAGTGGGAGCCTGGGGGCCTCACCCGCGGGCACGGCCCCCCCCGTGAGCACCGCGCCCGAGGTGCCCACCCCGCTCCAGCGCCACCTCATCTGCGCGGAGCTGGACCACAAGGTGAAGCTCACCAAGGGCACGCTGGAGGAGCTCACCAAGGAGATCGGGAGCACGTGGTCGCAGAGGGCCGTGGTGCAGCGCCTGGGCGATGGCATCAAGCGCATGGGCGGCCCCGCGACCAAGGTACCACGAGCCAAAGAAGAACGGGCACGCCTTCTGTTCCAGCTAGTGCAGAAGATGGCCTGAGGAGATATCGGCGTTCATCACGAAGCTTCCGACAGTGATTCTGATGTTGGTCCCATGTTTGCTGACCCTTGCCCAGAGGTTTCCGCCCGAACAGCTGCACTTCGTAAAGATGATCGGACTTCTCAGGGCGTGGTCATTTTTCTTACTTCCGTGTTCTTCCTCACTACCCTCATCCTCACCTGCGGAGTCGTTGTCGGTTACCAGCTCGTGCCACGGGATTTCATGACTTACAGCTATCTGAAGTACTTGGCGATCGAAGCCGTGCGCAATCTTGCCATAGGATCAGTGGGGATAATGGGAGCTACGGCCGCCTTGGCCTCCGCACCACCTGAAGTCTGGAGTTCACCAGCGCCGGCGGGGGCGAGTCTGTTTCTGGCGGCACTACCGTGGGCATTCCAGCGGGGGATGAGGCGCTTGCGGACGCGATGACTTACGGAGTTGCGGGAGCACGCATGATGCCGTGGATGCCTTCATGGTTGACCCTCTGCTCCTCGGCATCTCCCAGGAGGGACATCATCGCGTTTGTCCGTAGCTAGGTCGGCTGAGTGGGGAGTTCGCAGACGCACGCACGCTCCAGTCTGTCGGAGCTCGGTGCCATGCCAGTCAGCCGCAGGATTGGATAACGAGAGTTATCGCCACAAGAGAATCATCATCATCATCATCATCACCATCATCATCATCATCATCATCATCATCGTCATCGTCATCGTCATCATCGTCCTCGTCATCGCCATCATCATCACCATCATCATCATCGTCATCATCAGCGTCATCATCATCATCATCATCAGCAGCAGCGTCATCAGTATCACCGATCGTGGCCCCATAGGGGGGCCCCACCGAAGGCGCAAGTGGCAGGGTTCGCATGGCGGCCTCGGGCCATGTCGGCATACCCCTCACGAGGATCCTGGCCCCATAGGGGGCCCCACCGAAGGCGCAAGTGGCAGGGTTCGCATGGCGGCCTCGGGCCATTTCGGCACACCCCTCACGAGGATCGTGGCCCCATAGGGAGCTCCACCGAAGGCCCCCAGCGGCAGGGTTCGCATGGCGGCCTCGGGCCATTTCGGCACACCATTCACGAGGATCGTGGCCCCATGGGGAGCTCCATCGAAGGCGCCAGTTGCAAAGTTTACATGGCGACATCAAGCCATTTCGGCACACCCCTCACAAGGATCGTGGCCCCATAAGGGGGCTCCACCAAATGCGCCAGTGGCAGGGTTCGCATGGCGGCCTCGGGCCATTTCGGCACACCCCTCACGAGGATCGTGGCCCCATAAGGAGCTCCACCGAAGGCCCCAGTGGCAGGGTTCGCATGGCGGCCTCGGGCCGTTTCGGCACACCCCTCACGAGGACCGTGGCCCCACAGGGAACTCCACCGAAGGCCCCCAGTGGCAGGGTTCGCATGGCGGCCTCGAGCCATTTCGGCACACCCTTCACGAGGATTGTGGCACCATAGGGAGCTCCACCGAAGGCGCCAGTGGCAGGGTTCGCATGGCGGCCTCGGGCCATTTCGGCACACCCCTTCACGAGGATCGTGGCCCCAGAGAGAGCTCCAACAAAGGCGCAAGTGGCAGGGTTCGCATGGCGGCCCCGGGCCGTTTCGGCACACCCCTCACGAGGATCGCGGCCCCATAGGGAGCTCCACCGAGTGTCATAGCGGCAGTGTTCGCATGGCGGCCTCGGGCCATGTCGGCACACCCCTCACAAGGATCGTGGCCCCATAGGGAGCTCCATCGAAGGCGCCAGTGGCAGGGTTCGCATGGCGGCCTCGGGCCGTTTCGGCACACCCCTCACGAGGATCGTGGCCCCATAGGGAGCTCCACCGAGGGCCCCCAGTGGCAGGGTTCGCATGGCGGCCCAGGGCCGTTTCGGCACACCCCTCACGAGGACCGTGGCCCCATAGGGAGCTCCATCGAAGGCGCCAGCGGCAGGGCTCGCATGGCGGACTCGGGCCGTTTCGGCACACCCCTCACGAGGATCGTGGCCCCATATGGGGGCTCCACCGAAGGCGCCAGTGGCAGGGTTTGCATGGCGGCCCCGGGCCATTGCGGCACACCCCTCACGAGGATCGTGGCCCCATAGTTGTGCTGCTTCAACAACCGCGCCTGGGCGTCGTACTCGGCCTTGTCGACGTGCACCGCCACCTCCCCCCTCATGGCTCTCAAAGCCCTCTCCTGCTTCTGCTCCTCGGTCAGAGGGGCGCCGTCCTTGTCGTCGTCGGCGCCCGCGAAGACGGCCACGAACGTGCTCCTGAGCATGTCGGGCTCCGGCGGGAAGCCGTGGCCACATAGGGAGCGCGGGCGAAGATGGTATTCACATTTGCGATATTCACGACTGCATATGGTTGGGTCCTTCGCCAGGCTAATTGGTTTGTCTGGGGGCCCTTTTGAGGGCCTTTTGGGTCGTGTTGTAGCGGGGGAATCTCGAAGAGCTGAGGGCCCCCAAAACATTGAAATAATTCAATCAAAAGTAATGACGTTCCCTACCTAGGCTCTGCCTAGAGGGTTCTTACTCTCTTAGCTTAAAGGGACCGGGCAATGGAAAGCGCCCCGGGCGGTTCCCCCGGTTCCCGCCCCGCGGTTCCCCCAGTCCCCTGGGAGCTTTAGCTTTAGTTTTAGCTTTAGCTTTAGCTTTAGCTTTAGCTTAGCTTAGCTTTAGCTTAGCTTTAGCTTAGCTGTAGCTTAGCTTAAGCTTAGCTTTAGCTTAGCTTTAGCTTAGCTTTCGCTCAGCTTTAGCTTAGTTTTAGCTTAGCTCCAGCTTAGCTTTAGCTTAGCTTTAGCTTAGTTGTAGCTCAGCTGTAGCTCAGCTTTAGCTTAGCTTTAGCTTAGCTTTCGCTCAGCTTTAGCTTAGTTTTAGCTTAGCTCTAGCTTAGCTTTAGCTTAGCTTTAGCTTAGCTTTAGCTTAGCTTTAGCTTAGCTTTAGCTTAGCTTTAGCTTAGCTTTAGCTTAGCTTTAGCTTAGCTTCTTAGCTTAGCTTTAGCTTAGCTTTAGCTTAGCTTTAGCTTAGCTTTAGCTTAGCTTTAGCTTAGCTAGCTTAGCTTTAGCTTAGCTTTAGCTTAGCTTTAGCTAGCTAGCTTAGCTTTAGCTTAGCTTTAGCTTAGCTTTAGCTTAGGGCTCCAGCTTAGCTCCTAGGCTAGGAGCTCGCACTGGGATAAGCTTGGCCTCTCGGGTCCAACTCCTAGGGGATCGCACTGGGATAATTGGCCTCTCGGGTCCCTCCGGGGAGGGGTCTCAGAGGCTTCTTGGGGCGTTTGGGAGCCGTCTTGGGCCATCTGGAGGGCATCGTAGCCAGTCTGGAAGCCCTCTGGGGTCGTTTCGGGGCACTCTTGGACCCTCTGGGGCGCTTCTCGTGTTTCGCATCATTTTCGACGGGGTCACCGCCCACGCGACACACCCCAGCAGCGCCCGGGACCGCCTGGGAAACCGGGGGCCCAGGCCCTAAGAACTTTACAGCCCCTGTACCTTTTCAGGGCTGCGTAAGGTTCTGGGGCACTCCACTTCGTACCGAAGTTACGGCGGCAGATTCTCAGTTGACTGAGATCTACCAGCTGATCTGAGGCATTGCCGCTGATGTCAACAGCAGAAGAGGCGGTGGAGCATCAGGAGGAGGATAATTGAGACTCAACGGGCTGTGCTTCAGATTTGCAAGCAAGAAGAGGGCGTCAAGGATGATGACGACGAGGACTGGAAACGCGGGTGACCACCCACGATTGCGGGCACTGTCTGGCCCAAGGCGAGAAGGATGATGGCCGACCTCCTCTTTCTCCTCCGTCTCCTCGTTTTCCTCCTTCTCCCCCTCCTCCTCGTCCTCCTTCTCGTGCTCCTCACTCCCCTGCTGACCCTCATCATTCTGCTCCTCCATCTGGCCCTGCGTCCCATCCAACATATCCCTTCGCCTCCTACTTGCTTCTCCGCTTGCCTCCTTCTCCTGTTCATCTTCCTCCCCCCAATCTCTTCGGAGGGAGGCCTTGGTTGCGGTCGGCCTGTCGACCCGCCACATTGAGAGTGATGGAAGGAGGACGGGGGGGGGGGGAATGGAGGGAGCGTGGGAGGGATAGACGTGAGTTCTGGAACTGGAGAAGTCTATGGAGGAGGCGTATCAGCAGCAAGGGGAGGACGAGGAGGAGGAGAAGAACGAGAAGGAGGAAGAAGAGGAGGAGTAATTGTGCGCCTTGCTGGAGGGAAGTATGGAGGAAAATTGCTTGTGGCTTTGCCCAGGTGAAGAAAATGATGGCCATCGATCCCAATGCGCGCCCCACCGCCGCGGAGGCGTTGGAGCACAAGTGGCTCCAAGGAACAACAGAACAGCAGGAGGAGCAGCAGAAGGACGTGCACGCGAGGGGAGGGATGAGGATGAGGATATGGAAGGATTTCCCCTGCAAGCCCAAAACGCATCATCAATGTTGCAATACACTCTCCCTTCAAGTTCCCTCTTCACAAGTCCGAGAAGTAGATGAGTCTCATTGCGGGACGTGCCACATTGGAAGCCAATCGTCAGGGAACCATCAATCGTGCTGAAATTTATTTCCTGCGACCTCAGCACCGAGAACCAACGTGACTGTTGGTTCCTGGCATTTCTAAACCGTGCCGAGACACCGTTCTTGTGATTTCAACACCGGATTTCGGCGAAACTGTTGCATCTTGACAATCCCAATTCGTGCCTGAACACCCATCGTGGTGCATCACGCATACGATTCCTGGAAACGAATGCAAACATCGAAGACACATGTGCGCGGCGCTAGAGCGAGAGTCGCATTTTGGAAACGGCACGCCCTCCATTCGTGAAACTGTTGCTGCAACCTTTCGCAAAATATATGGTCAGCGCGAAGGCGAGAGCCGCATTTTGGAATCGACCTGCCCTCCATGCGTGAAATTGTTGCAAGCTGTCAAAACGAATGCACGCGGCGCGAAGGCGGGAGTCACATGTCTGCAAACGGCCCGCCCTCCATCCGTGAAGCTGTCGCAAGTGTTCAAAACGAATGTGCGCCGCGCTACGACAAGAGCCACATTTTTGAAAACGACACGCCCTCCATCCGTGAAACTGTTGCAGCTCAGAGGTCCGCGCAGTTTTGTCGGATCGGCGCTGGAGCCCCCCGGTGACGCCTCCGCGCCGCGCCTAGCGCGTTCCTCCAGTGCCGATCCGAGCTGCGCTGATCTCCGAGCTCTTATGCTTCTGCCATTGCTTGTTCCCTGAAACTTGTTTCCCTAGAGTTGGGGAGCGGGATCGTGTTTTCTCTTGGCCACGGGAGGTGCAGCGATTCTGAGATTCCTCTCTTGCCGAAGTGCGCGGTTGGCGGATAGAGCTATCGATTTCGAATCGGCGCGCATGGCCGCCATGAGCTTCACTGTGCAGTATCGGCACGTGCCACCAGGAACAAAAACATAGATCAGCGATTTGGAGATCGGGATCGGTTTTCTCTTGGCCTGGAGAGGTTCAAACTCGGCGGCGACACCGTGCTGGAGCCCGCCTCCACGAAGTCCGCCTCCGCGAAGCCCACCGCGGAGACCTCCCCGGCCTCCGCCAAGTCCACCGCGGCGGGCAGCGGCCGGGCCTCCCCGGAAAGCGCAGCCAGCTCGCCGCAGGGCGGCCCGCAGGAGTCTGGGGAGGCGAATCGGGGGAGGGGGAGGCGAATCGGACGGGGCTAGGACGAGGATAAATCCGTTCCGGAACGCTCTGAGAAGGCCGTGGCGCCCGATACATCTTCCAGGACCGCCGGATCTCCCAGATTCCCGATTTATGCTCACCCGATTTTATCCTCGTCCTGGCTTCGTCTTAGAGAGGGTACCCGCTACCCTTCCTCGGCTTCCCATTTTTGGACCTCCTGGGAGGCCCTCGCCACCGCTGGACTCGCCTCGAAGTTCTGGTCAGAACGCACCCTGGGAAGTAGCTGTATCCGTACCTTTTTGCTCCCCCAGTTAAGGGAAGGGAAGGGCCACGGTCGGGAACTTTTGCTCAGCATGTCGCGGCGGCGACTCCGGCGACACGCCATGCCCTGCAGGCGGATGGCGTGTCGCTCCGCTCCGCGGGGCGGGAGGTTTCGAAAGGCTTGGGGCGTTGAAGCCTGGGGACTGGGAAGTGGATAGCGTGTCGCGCCGAAGCGCCAGAGCCGGCAGAGCGACACGCCATCCAAAAGTTCCTGTCCACAGGCTCAGGAGGTGACGCATCGAGCCCCAATCGAACATTGACCGCCAATGGGGGACCGATAACCCACCCACCTCAAGACTGTGCGGATGCGCTGTCACCCATCGCCGATCTATCAGCGATGGGTCCCCCCTGAGCCGGTCCCCCCCTCGTCGTTGCACTTCCAAAGGAGGGCCCCGCAGAGTGCGTCCAGGAGAAGCTGGCGCTCCCCGGCACCCCGCAGGCAGACGAGAATCCGGGGCGAAGTCTTGGGCCTCCCGAGTGAGGTCCGAGCAGATGGGGTCGGAAGATGACACCACATCGCCGATGCATCGGCAATGCGGCGCTGGTGCGTCGCCGACGCATCGGTGATGCGGCGCCATCCTCATCTGCCCGTACCCCATTTGGGAGGCATCCAAAGAAGCTGGCGCTCCCCAGCACCCCGCAGGCAAACGAGAATCTGGGGCGGCCAAGAGGGGGGCGATGACTATTCACCGAGCGCCTTCCTCTACTCCCAGTCTGCCTACTCGCAGACGTCCGAACAAATTATCCTGGCGAAGGACCCAACCATATGCAGTTGTGAATGCCGCAATTGTAAATGCCATCTTCGCCTGCGCTCCCTATGTGGCCACGGCTTCCCGCCGGAACCCGACATGCTCAGGGACACGTTCGTGGCCGTCTTCGCGGGCGCCGACGACGACAAGGACGGCGTCCCTCTCACCGAAGAGCAGAAGCAGGAGAAGGCCTTGAGAGCCATGATGGAGGAGGTGGCGTTGCACGTCGACAAGGCGGAGTACGACGCCCATGCGCGCTTGTTGAAGCAGCGCAACTATGGGGCCACGATCCTCGTGAGGGATGTGCCGCAATGGCCCGGGGCCGCCACGCGAACCCTGCCACTGGCGCCTTCGGTGGAGCTCCAGTGGGGCCACGGTCCTCGTGAGGGTTGTGCCGAAATGGCCCGAGGCCGCCATGCGAACCCTGCCACGGGGGCCTTCGGTGGAGCTCCCTGTGGGGCCACGATCCCTGTGAGGGGTGTGCCGAAATGGCCCGAGGCCGCCATGCGAACCCTGCCACTGGCGCCTTCGGTGGAGCTCCCTATGGGGTCACGATCTTCGTGAGGGGTGTGCCGAAATGGCCCGAGGCCGCCATGCGAACCCTGCCACTGGCGCCGTCAGTGGAGCTCCCTATGGGGCCACGATCCTCGTAAAGGGGTGTGCCGAAATGGCCCGAGGCCGCCATGCGAACCCTGCCAGTGGGGCCTTCGGTGGAGCTCCCTACGGGGCCACGATCCTCGAGAGGGGTGTGCCGAAATGGCCCGAGGCCGCCATGCGAACCTTGCCATTGGGGGCCTTCGGTGGAACTCCTTATGGGGCCACGATCCTCGCGAGGGGTGTGCCGAAATGGCCCGAGGCCGCCATGCGAACCCTGCCTCTGGGGCCTTCGGTGGAACTCCCTACGTGGCCACGATCCTTGTGAGGAGTGTGCCGACATGGCCCGAGGCCGCCATGCGAACCCTGCCATTGGGAGCCTTCGGCGGAGCTCCCCATGGGGCCACGATCCTCGTGAGGGGTGTGCCGAAATGGCCCGAGGCCGCCATGCGAACCCTGCCACTGGAGCCTTGGGTGGAGCGCCCCATGGGGCCACGACCCTCGTGAGGGGTGTGCCGAAATGGCCCGAGGCCGCCATGCGAACCCTGCCACTGGAGCCTTCGGTGGAGCTCCCTATGGGGCCACGATCTTCGTGAGGGGTGTGCCGAAATGGCCCGAGGCCGCCACGCGAACCCTGCCAGTGGGGCCTTCGGTGGAGCTCCCTATGGGGCCACGAAGCGGTGGGTGAAACGCAGGGATGAGGGGGAGGAGGAGGAGGAGGAGAGGAGGAGAGGAGACGCTGACCACCGTCTCTTCAAAACGAGGACCCAACACCACAGGATGGTTGGGAAAAAGAAAAAACACGTGTTCGCCCCATTTTATTGTATCGTAGATCCCCCGCGGCGGATCCAGGCCATGTGCGAATAGTTTTTATGCGAGCAGTGGAACGCGATGATCTGACTGCCCAAACCTCTCAGGCCTTGAAACATCCAACGCGGAGGTTTCTCGTAGATTTCGGCCCGGGGTCCCTCGCCAGGCCCCGAGACCGTCCGAAGAACAGCTCGGGACGCGGAGCAGGTCCCCAGGAAAGGGCCGGGGCTTCTGGGTGCCCCGCACGGGAAAAGTCGATACATCAGATCTCTGGGTAAGGGGGGGGATCGCACGGCGGGGGCCGGGACATCTCGCCGGAGTCGTGCCCCCTCCTCCAATTCCACCTCCTCCTCCTCCTCCTCCTCCTCCTCCTCCTCCTCCTCCTCCTCCTCCTCCTCCTCCTCCTCCTCCTCCTCCTATTCTACCTCCTCCTCCTCCTCCTCCTCCCCCGCCTCCTCCTCCTCCTCCTCCTCCGCCTTCTCCTCCTCCCCCGTTCTTCTTTCGGCGCGTTCCATGCCCACCCCGCGGCCTGCGCGCATGCCTCGGGCCTCGATGTGTGGACCCCCCCTCTTGGACGCCCCCCTGTTTCGGACGCCCTCCGAGGGAAGGCCCTTCCCGTCGTGCAAAGGCCGCGCTGGATGGGTGTTGGCCATCGTCGGCTTCGAAGGGGCCCTCGCGAGGCCCGGAGACCCGTCACGATGGACGCCCCCGCTTCGGACGCCTCCGAGAGAAGGCCCCTCCCGTCGTGAAAAGGCCGCGCTGGATGGGTGTTGGCCATCGTCGGCTTCTGGGGGCCCTCGCAAGGAGACCCCTCTCGTCGTGAAAAGGTCGCGATGGATGGGTGTTGACCATCGTCGGCTTCTGGGGGCCCTCGCAGGGCCCGGGGACCCGTCGAGGAGCGACTCTGGAAGGACCCGTCCGGGGGGGGGGAGGGAGGGACATGCAGACCTCTGGGGGTCGACGTCGTGAAGAAAATGGCGGCTGCGAAGTGCGGGGCGCCCTGCAGGCCGAGGAGAAGCCGAAGCTGCCGGGCGAGCCGGAGTGAGGGAGCGGCCGCCGCGCACGGTTGTGTCCGCAGGCCTCCGGCAATACGCGTCCCCACCCCACCGGTCGGGGCTGTTCGGACCGAAGGCATCTCGGGGGCCCCCAAACGGGGCGGTGACCACACCGTGCGGCGAGGCGGCGAGTCGGTGGGGCTTCGGGGTCGCCGCACGGTTTTGGGGCTCGGGTCGTGTTCTCCGGGGACGTCTCGGGCGACTGGGGCCTCGGCGGGGCGGCGGCGGTGGCGGCGGAGGCGGCGGCGACGGCGGCACGACAGCAGGGCCACGAAGGGCACGAAGTAGGCCACGAAGGGCGACAGCGGGGGCACGAAGGGAATGCGTATGGGGCCACGAAGAGCGCGAACGAGAGGGGGCCACGAAGTGCAGATAATGCGGGGCCACAGAAGGCAACTATAGGGCCACTGAGGGTAGCAACTGGGCCACGTAGGACAGTGAGGGGGACACAAATGGCGACAGCGGGGCCACGAATGGCATGCACATGGGGCCACAACGGGCGCGACTCCTGGGTGCCTGGGTGTCGGGAGCGCGGCGCTTGGGCAAATTGCAAGAAATTCCAACGCAAGTCCATTCTACAGGAAGTTGCAAGCAAGTCTCCAGCGAGAGCGCGACTCCAGAGCGCCGGGAGAGCGATTCCTGCATAAGTTGTAAGGAAGTCCCAAGCGAGAGCGCGATTCCTGAAAAAAATGCGAGGAAGTCTCGGGCGGGAGCGGGGGGCTTGGAGGGTTTCGAGGTCACCGCACGGTCTGTCACCGCACCGTTTCCGGATTCCAAAGAATCGAGCTCCCGACCCGCCGCGCACAGCCTGCATGCCGCGGTCGCCCGGCCCAAGGTGTGCCTGTGCTCCCCCGGCATCCCGCCTCGCGTTCTCGGGTGGGGGGCGCTCGAGAATCAGCACAAGCTGCTTTAGCCCAGGCGTTCGTCCTCGGTTTTGGCCCTCGGGGGCCGCTTCCGGGCCATGGGACAATCAAAAACGGATCCTGGGCGAAAAACCAGGGAATGTCTCGGGAGCCGTATGTATGTACTGTGTCATGAGCGGCCCGGAGGCCCGACACCAACAGCAGTGCGAAACAATCCACTTAAGCATCGCTGCAGGAAGACCAGCTCAGCTGCCCTCCATCGTTGGCGGTCTTGCGCCTCTTCAAACCAATATACCCCTCGTTCGGCAAAGAAAAATCGAGTCAGCTGCGACTCCCAGTGCCAATTTGAAAACCTGGCAGGAAAACCTGGATGGTCGGAGCGCCCACCCAGAACCACGGCGGAGATTCTGGATAGCAAACCCATGCCGGTTCCATTGAAGAACCCGGCTAATGATTAGAAACTCTGTTTCCCTCCTACAACGCCTAGCCACATGCCCTGCGTGACGGTAAATCCTACGAGCCCGCGGATTGGAATAACGATTCGCTTGCGCAGAAACGACGCCCAATCCCGCGAAAACGCGAGGGCCAAAACAAAAAGCAGGCTCCTCGAGACTTCGGGGAGGGATGTTTCGGGGTAGGGTTGTACCAGGGGGGCAACGACGAACGCAAACCATGCCCGGAGATCTTTGGGCGATCTTCGAGTCTTCGGTGATTCCGTCATTTGGGGAGTGGGAATGTGACTTTCTTGGCCAACCATATAGGAGGAAGTCTGGGCTGTCGGCGCGCCCTCGATTTACGCGGTCGGAGCGAATCAGAGCGTGAATGACCTACCTCGCTTTCGCTTCCGGGCAAAACCAAGTCATACCACGCGCCTCCCCGTCAAGCGGCCTGACCAGTACAGGCCGTAGCTTGGCATCGGTTAGTATCTCTTGGAAGCGAGGGCGGTCAAAAGCGAGGCAGGTTTGTCTGCCCCCTAGCGCAGCGGCGGGCAGAGCGCAGGGCCACGGGGCCATCAAAAAACAAAACGGTTCCTGGTCGAAACATTGAGGAAGGCCTCGGAAGCTCTTGCGCCGCGGACTGGAAGAACCCCATCGGGGGAGGTCTCGGCGGCCGGCGCGCTCGTGACCTGCTCGGTGTGGGCGCGGCGGCGGGCAGGGCGCAGGGGTACGTGGTGGTTCTGCCTCTACCCCCCTGCATCCCGCCCCACCTCCCTCCCTCCCTCCCTCCAGAGAGGTCTTCGGGAGGCCTCTGGGGCTCTCCCGGCTGTCTACGCACAGGCTCCGCGAAGCCCCCAGGCTGCCCGAGGCCACAGCAACGCGCACCAAGGCTGGACCCTCGACCCTCGAGCCCCCTCCCCTTTCCTCGAGCCTCCTCGAACCTCTTCGATCCTCCTCCTCGACACCCGGGGCGTCCTTTCACCCAGTGATCGGGCCCCCGCCGTGCCGTGTCTCATCCAGCGCCTGGGCCCGGCAGCACCTCGGCCTTGGCGTTCTGGTGCTCTGCTTTCCCGGAGGGCCTCCGGCCGAACCGCCAGCCACCAGGAGGAGGAGGAGGAGGAGGAAAGAGGAAGGAGGACGGATGAAGGAGGAAGGAGGAAGGAGGAAGGAGGAAGAGGGAAGGAGGAAAGAGGAGGAGAAGGAGAAGAAGGAGGAGGAAGGAGGATCTTCCCCCCCTCACACACCACACACACATGCACATGCCCTGTTGGCATCGCGGCATCGCGCACAGCGTCGCTGCGTAGAAAGTCGAAAAGCCGAGGAGCTAGAAGCGGGAAACATTCGCGCGGCTGGCCCAGTCAGCAGCGAGACGCACACACAGACACGCACTTCTTTCCGTCTCGCTCCGTCTATAAACACAAGTTTATGTATGTGAATCAGCGTGGACCCCAATCAGCGTGTGTCTTAGGATCATATGGCATCACTTGTGGTGTTATCTATGTTGAGCAACACATGTGGTACAATTTACGTGGTGCAATTGATTTTTACAAATGCGTTGACACACGGGCCCGTGAAAACATCCCACCCACCCGCCCGCACCTTTGTTTGCGAAACCACTGCGGCGGCGATTGCGATGAGTGCTTGGCGGTGGCTGGTGTATGTCTGCCGCGGTTGCCCGCGTATGCTCGCGCGTACAGCGGCCGGCTAGTTTGGCGCGGCCGACGCGGCCGCGGTGGCGCTGACCGCTGGGCACTTCCAGCCTGCACTTCAGTGCGAGTCGGTGACCAGGGCAGGCGCGGTATCATGGAGACGCCGACAGCGGTAGACGCGATGATGAGAGCAGCGATGACGGTGGCGATTGCGGCGATGACGACGACGAGGCCAATGACAAACCCGTTTTTTTGGTGCCCGCCGATGACGATGACGATGTTTTCGCCTCGGCGATGAAGGTTGCGGAAAGAGTTCGACATGATGTTTTTTTCTGGACAACCGATGCTGCAAAATAGTGCGATTTGCATGTTTACGGGGCACTCGTCTTGGACATCCTTACGAAGCCAAAGGTGTTTGGAAGATTTCGGCGCGCGCGCGCGACGACGAGCGCGCGCGCGCACTTCGTCGCAGTTTTTGCGTGGAGTACTTGCGACGGCACGCGCGCGAGAGGCCCGCTTGGTGGCATCGCGTGAAAATGTTGGAGCACCTATGGGTTTCACGCGAATTCGCGAGAGCGCGGGCGCAGGTTTTGTTCGAAATTCCTCGCAGCGAAACCGAGCGTTTTTCTTAACGAAAAAGGCGTGGCGAATGACCCAACCATATGCTGATGCGAATGTCACATTGTGGGTGCCGGTTTCGGTGGGGCTCCCTATGGGGCGACGAAGCGTTGTCGTGGGTGGCGTTGACGCATGCGGCCTGTGCCACTGGAGCCTTCAGTGGAGCTCCCCATGGGGCCGCGAAGCGCTATCGTGGGTGGCGTTGACGCATGCGGCCTGTGCCACTGGAGCCTTTGGTGGAGCTCCCTTTGGGGCTGCGAAGCGCTGTCCTGGGTGGCGATGACGCATTCGGCCTGTGCCACTGGAGCTTTCGGTGGAGCGCCGTATGTGGCCACGAAGCGCTGTTCTGGGTGGCGGTGACGCATGCGGCTTGCGCCACTGGAGCTCCCAGTGGAGCTCCCTATGTGGCCACGCAGCTATGTCCTGGGTGGCGTTGACTCATTCGGCATGTGCCACCAGAGCCTTCGGTGGAGCCCGGTATGGAGCCACGAAACGTTATCTTGGGTGGCTTTGACGCATGCGGCCTGTGCCACTGGGGCCTTCGGTGGAGCTCCGTATGGAGCCACGGAGCGTTGTCGTGGGTGGCGTTGACGCGTGCGGCCTGTGCCAGTTGAGCCTTCGATGGAGCTGCCCATGGGGCCACGAAGCGTTGTCCTGGGTGGCGTTGAAGCATGCTGCCTGTGCCAGTGGAGCCTTCAAAGGAGCTCCCCATGGGGCCACGAAGCCTTGTCCAGGGTGGCATTGGCGCATGTGGTCTGTGCCACTTGAGCCTTCGGTGGAGCTCCCTGTGGGGCCACGGAACGTTGTCCAGGGTGGCCTTGACGCATTAGGCCTGTGCCACTGGAGCCTTCGGTGTAGCTCGCTATGGGGCCACGAAATGGCGCCCTGGGTGGCGTTGACGCATGCGGCCTGTGTCACTGGAACCTTCCATGGGGCTTCCCATGTGGCCACGAAACGTTGTCCTGGGTGGCGTTGACGCATGCGGCCTGTGCCAATGGAGCCTTCTGTGGAGCTCGCTATGGGGCCACGAAGCGGCGTCCTGGTTGGCGTTGACGCATGCGGCTTGTGCCACTGGAGCCTTCGGTGGAGCCCCCTTATGGGGCCACGAAGCATTGTCATGGGTGGCGTTGACGCATGCGGCCTGTGCCACTGGAGCCTTCGATGGAGCTCCCAATGGAGCCACGAAACGTTATTTTGGGTGGCTTTGACGCATGCGGCCTGTGTCACTGGAGCCTTCGGTGGAGCTCCCTATGGGGCCACGAAGTGTTGTCCTGGGTGGCGTTGACGCATGCGGCCTGTGCCACTGGAGCCTTCGGAGGAGCTTCCTGTGGGCTTCCTAAACGCTGTCATGGGCGGCCTTGACGCATGCGGCCTGTGCCACTGGAGCCTTCGGTGGAGCTCCCCAGAGGGCCACGAAACTTTGTCCTGGGTGACGCTGACGCATACGG